TTAGGTGCTGTTTATATGCCAAATGTCAACCTAGCAAAAGACTGACTCAGCACAGTCCTGCTTCCAGTGTTATCAGAGGAAGTAGGCAGGCAGAAGAGGCCAGCCCGAGCTGAAAATGCTCCTTCTGCAACTATGAGAGCGTGCAGGGCTGGGGCCAACTACAGGAGGAGACTGTTGGTGCAGAGCAGTGGATGCCCGGGGACCCCCTCCCCCCATCTACAGACAGCAGGCATCCCGCTCAGAAAGGCAGCCAATCATCTCACACTGGGGACCTCCCAGGACAGGACAGCCTGTCTTCCCTGCAGTGCTGAGGACATCAGAGGCGGGGAGGGACTTCAATTGCGCACTGAGGCTGTACTGCAACTTGGCCACTAGGGGGCATTAGCTGTGGTGCTGGGTTCAAAGGACACATTTTGTGAATTTTGTGCTTTCAAAGCCACTACACTCTCGTTATGACCATCATCCTATGAAGTGAGTGTGGATGAAGATGATCTCCACTGTGTAAATCTGACACTGGGTCAGAGAATTAAGTGATTTAACTGCTTAGGTGGGAGGGCCTGGTCCTCTTTCAGAAGAGGAAACTGGGCATGTGGAGGGAAAACTTCAAATGCCAGTCAGAGCTGGGAAGAGGGCACGGAGGCTGCCTTGTGAGGAGCTACAGCTCAACCCTGGGGGTAAACTCCTATGCTGTCCCCAAAATACTTTTTGGAATCTTACTGATTATGAAGTCCATGGACCAGGCAATCACAAACTCACACTCAAGGACCCTGATGTCCAGGAATCCTATGGTAATTTTGTAAAATAAGTAATCTGCCTGGGCCTCTCTCACCTTCTCTGTCTGCCCAGATGGGCCTCAGCCTCACACGCCCTACTCAAAGCTCACCTGCACCCTGCTGCCACCGCCCCATCCGAGTAGTGCATTCCCTAAGCCACTGCACATGTAGGCTTCACAGCTCCTTTTCCTTATTGTCCCCATCTTAGCTCCAAGTGTACAAGGCAGGAACTGGTGATAATACTCAGTCCCCAGCACACAGTGCCCACGAATGTTCAGAACCAGACTGTTCAGCCAGAAAGAACCCTGGAGAGGTTCTAATGCAGTCCCCACCCAAAATGTGGACTGAATGAATCACACAGCCAGGGAAGGTGCCCCTTTACCCTCAGCCCCACAATCTATTCACAGCCAGGAGAGCTTTCAGAAATGCAAGCCAGGTAGCCGTTACTGGACCACACCCTCCTGGGGCTTCCTATTTCCCATATACATAATCATGTATGATGCATGTACGTATGTACATATCCAAAATCTCATGATCCGTGAGGCCCTCTGTGCATGGCTTCCCCTGCAAACACCAGCTTCCCCGGGCTGCTCAGCACACACCCTCTCCTTCCCACGCTCTCCTGTTCCCGGGACCCCCCCGATGGCTACCCCTCTTAGGCTTGCCCTTGTCTGGGTCAAGCAGTGTCTCCCAGCTGGCCTCCCCCGATCCTGTTGTCCCCGGGTCCCTTGTAATCCTGAGCCCGAAGGCACCTCAGGCTTTGTGATGGTGACCTTGCCTTCCAACTGGAGTGTCTACACCACAGAAATGGGGGGCCTTCAGTGACTCACCACTGAATCCAGTGCCAACAGCGCCTGGCGCAAGGTAGGTGCTCGTGTTTACTGAGTCCATAAAATGGGTGATGTGTGAAGTATCACTGAGCAGAGCCAGAGGAGACACTTAATAAATTAGCACCATGAATATACTATATGGCACTGCCCACCTCTTGATTAACAAACTATTTTCTACTTTATTGTAGGTGATTAATAAATGATTTGGGGAGCAGACACTCTGGCCATAGCAGACTAGATATCCCATTAACTAACCTGGGGCCTAGAGGTCTAGGGTAGTTCTGGATTCAAGGTCAATTCTGGGATTTCACCTGAGACCTAAAGGAACTAGTCCATTTGAAGAGACGTGATTCTCCAGAAAGCCCGAGTTTTTTTCTGGTAACAAAAACATCCTGGATTTCCTTCCACAAGGAATCGGGAAGCGAGAACTTGGAATCCATAGCCATGAAGTGCGGTCCGCCAGGTCAGTCCCTGCTACCCCACCATGTGCCATTTTGAAAATGGGACCTTCCAAGACAATCCCGACATTGCAGTGCTGAGGACATCAGAGGCGGGGAGGGACTTCAATTGCGCACTGAGGCTGTACTGCAACTTGGCCACTAGGGGGCATTAGCTGTGGTGCTGGGTTCAAAGGACACATTTTGTGAATTTTGTGCTTTCAAAGCCACTACACTCTCGTTATGACCATCATCCTATGAAGTGAGTGTGGATGAAGATGATCTCCACTGTGTAAATCTGACACTGGGTCAGAGAATTAAGTGATTTAACTGCTTAGGTGGGAGGGCCTGGTCCTCTTTCAGAAGAGGAAACTGGGCATGTGGAGGGAAAACTTCAAATGCCAGTCAGAGCTGGGAAGAGGGCACGGAGGCTGCCTTGTGAGGAGCTACAGCTCAACCCTGGGGGTAAACTCCTATGCTGTCCCCAAAATACTTTTTGGAATCTTACTGATTATGAAGTCCATGGACCAGGCAATCACAAACTCACACTCAAGGACCCTGATGTCCAGGAATCCTATGGTAATTTTGTAAAATAAGTAATCTGCCTGGGCCTCTCTCACCTTCTCTGTCTGCCCAGATGGGCCTCAGCCTCACACGCCCTACTCAAAGCTCACCTGCACCCTGCTGCCACCGCCCCATCCGAGTAGTGCATTCCCTAAGCCACTGCACATGTAGGCTTCACAGCTCCTTTTCCTTATTGTCCCCATCTTAGCTCCAAGTGTACAAGGCAGGAACTGGTGATAATACTCAGTCCCCAGCACACAGTGCCCACGAATGTTCAGAACCAGACTGTTCAGCCAGAAAGAACCCTGGAGAGGTTCTAATGCAGTCCCCACCCAAAATGTGGACTGAATGAATCACACAGCCAGGGAAGGTGCCCCTTTACCCTCAGCCCCACAATCTATTCACAGCCAGGAGAGCTTTCAGAAATGCAAGCCAGGTAGCCGTTACTGGACCACACCCTCCTGGGGCTTCCTATTTCCCATATACATAATCATGTATGATGCATGTACGTATGTACATATCCAAAATCTCATGATCCGTGAGGCCCTCTGTGCATGGCTTCCCCTGCAAACACCAGCTTCCCCGGGCTGCTCAGCACACACCCTCTCCTTCCCACGCTCTCCTGTTCCCGGGACCCCCCCGATGGCTACCCCTCTTAGGCTTGCCCTTGTCTGGGTCAAGCAGTGTCTCCCAGCTGGCCTCCCCCGATCCTGTTGTCCCCGGGTCCCTTGTAATCCTGAGCCCGAAGGCACCTCAGGCTTTGTGATGGTGACCTTGCCTTCCAACTGGAGTGTCTACACCACAGAAATGGGGGGCCTTCAGTGACTCACCACTGAATCCAGTGCCAACAGCGCCTGGCGCAAGGTAGGTGCTCGTGTTTACTGAGTCCATAAAATGGGTGATGTGTGAAGTATCACTGAGCAGAGCCAGAGGAGACACTTAATAAATTAGCACCATGAATATACTATATGGCACTGCCCACCTCTTGATTAACAAACTATTTTCTACTTTATTGTAGGTGATTAATAAATGATTTGGGGAGCAGACACTCTGGCCATAGCAGACTAGATATCCCATTAACTAACCTGGGGCCTAGAGGTCTAGGGTAGTTCTGGATTCAAGGTCAATTCTGGGATTTCACCTGAGACCTAAAGGAACTAGTCCATTTGAAGAGACATGATTCTCCAGAAAGCCCGAGTTTTTTTCTGGTAACAAAAACATCCTGGATTTCCTTCCACAAGGAATCGGGAAGCGAGAACTTGGAATCCATAGCCATGAAGTGCGGTCCGCCAGGTCAGTCCCTGCTACCCCACCATGTGCCATTTTGAAAATGGGACCTTCCAAGACAATCCCGACACACCTGGATTCCTAGATGCACCAAAACCTCCCCGTGTTCTTCTTTTTCCCCACCCTTCTATTTCAGCTTATAAAAGATACCAAAAACAGATGGATAAATAGTGAGAACTCAGCCCTTGGGATGTTGAGCTGAAGGTGAACAGCCAGACTCCACATGGGCCTGTGAAGCCCCGCAGTCAGCCCCGGGGACCAGCTGACAGCTGGCTCACAGTCCCGCTGCCCTGCGCCAGAGGGGACCAAGCGGGGCCCCATCTCCACCTGTGAGCACACGTTGACACAAGGCATGGGTCATGTCTTTATTAAAGATGCAAGCAAGCACAGAAGTATCGTGTGGTGCTCAGTCATATCCATACAGTACTAAAAATAGAAAAATAGAAAAGAAATTTCACAGAAAGCAGCCTCCCTCAGATACACAGAAAAGGTGCTGCCAAGCCCACCATGCAATGCCATGGACCACCTGCCCTATTCAAGCTGCTCTCCTTTGCAAATCAAACAGAAGCATATGTCTGCTTTTCAAAGCCAGCAACACAGAACCGAGACCCCTTACACAGTAGTCACCCCTCCAGCCACCACCTTGGGCACTTCCCAGCCACATAAATACCACGACAACACCATGGCAGCATTACACAAACTGGTGCCCGTCCCCTGCTACCTGACCGTCAACACCAAACGTGAGCCTGGTGATGAAGCTGGTGGTGGGACAAAAGATGCCACCTCTGGGCCCTCAGTCATACTGAGATACGGCACAGAGACAAAGGCAAGACTGCCACCCGGTATGAGGGAAACGGGGCGTTACGATTGCAAAATGGTTGTCCCATGGCTGAGAGCCTCAGGTACAGATGGAACAAAGTGAATGACAGATAAAGTTTTAGAAATTTACTATTAAGCATCTGCTCACCAGCATAAGTAGATTTCTGCTTCAGGGAACAAAAGTTAAAACTGCAGAATGAAAGCCAAATCCGGAGCATGTTCAGTCTCTGCAGCGGGCTCTCCAGGGGCTGCGTTAGACTCCCACCTGCTGGCCTCGCTGGGCAGGTGCCCTGGGCAGGTGCCCTCAGGGGGTGGCTGCCGGCTCCTCTGTATGGGCCTACGGAGCTGCCTGCAGGGCATCAAGCGAGGGGCATCCTCTCCGAAAAGGCCCTCCTGGCCAGTTTCTGCTTTGCTTCAGGAAGGTGACAACAAGCCGAACTCCATCAGAAGGTTCCCCACACCCAGCTCACCCTTTGTCCCCACCCCACCTCGGAGCCAGGTGAGAACTGAATGGCTCTGCCTTACAGAGCAAAACTACAAAAATAAAAAGAGTCAACCCTGAGATCTTTCTACCATTTGGGTGTGGCTCACTCCTGAGTCCCCTCGGAAATGAACTCCTTTATTTGGTTTACTGACATTTATTTAGATTTCCAGTGAAAAGCTCTATAAAGTACAATAAATAATGTGGGGTCGTAAAAGGTTTGACATCCTGGTTGCTTATGTTACAGACTGTGTACTTCTGATACAGGCCATCAGCACTGCAACCTTTATGATATTTGCAATCAGACATGTAGACTTCCAACCTCAAAGGCGAGAGACGCTGCTCTGGACTGGAACACCCCCACCTCTTCCCAGCTCTCTGCTGTCGCACCCCCACCCCCACCCCCACCCCCTGTGTTTACACTGCTTCCAGAGTGTGTCCAGCAAATAACAAATGAGTGCCTAAGGGACGTGTAGCTCGTGGAGGGTCTGGGCACTGTGAGCATGCAAGTTCACTGTCCCTGTCATTATAAATGAAAGTCAAACGTGAGGTCGCACTTTCCCATCTTCTGTTTATACACCAAATCGAACTTCTCGTTCATGGAGACAGTGAAGATGTCCTTCCACAGCCCAACTCTTCCTGAAACAAATAAGAGCAGAATGTGCTGAATTCACTGGCTGAAGGCCAGCTACCAAACCAAAGGAAGCCTTGGAAATGGACCCGCAGGGTTCCAAATCCATTCCTGAACCCCCCTGAACTTGGCCTATGGGGCAGGGCAGGCCATCTGAACTACACGACTGAACTTGCTTCCCTGCGGAGGGTCTTCCTGGTTCCCTCTCCCCACCAGGCTGAGCCCAGCACAGAAATGCAGAGCCAAGGCCAGGAGGAGCGCTGCCCTGTTCACGGTCGAATCCTCAGCCCTGGGCACACAGTGGGGACTCACAACACCCCCAGCAGGCCATGTCTGCGGGATGATCGCTTGGTGCCAGGCAGACTTGGGCGCTCCATGATACCTACTCACGACACCACAGCTCCACCAAAGCAGTGATTGCTTCTGGAGAATTTGAGAAGGTAAAAAAGGCAGAACATTTTGTAGGGTAGGAAGCCTTCTGACGGGGTCAGGGTGATGATTTTGAGAAGACTGCCTGGCAACCTCAGGGAGGAATTTAAAGGGAATGAATAGTCGCAGTGAAAGGAGCCTTCAGACTGGACGCCAAATGGCACTGTGGCAGGGACTCCCCAACTCAACACCCACATGAGTCACGGCGAGGCCTCTTCCTGCCCAGTGTGCAGCAGCACAGGGCCTGCCGGCGAATGCGCAGGCCCGGGCCACCCATTCCTTTGTGAGGCTTCGGGGAAAATGAGAGCTCAGAGTGACCCTGAAAGCCGCTCAGCCCACTTTCCTTGTCAACCCTGAGATCTTCCGCAGGTCCAGAAGACCGTGAAGATGGCAGGAGTGGGGACCCTGGAGCAGCCATCGTGCTGCCGAGCGACCGCCTCAGGGACTCAGAGGCTCGTCTAGGCTCTTTTCACCATCAGCATCTCTGAGGTCAGAGCTCTGACCGTCTCTGGCAAACATCCCTTATTAGCTCCATTATTAACACTTGTCCTTGTCCTGGCAGGACCCCAGAGATGAAAGTGCAACCCTGCAAATGCTGAGCCATTATCTCCAACACGACAGGATTTTCTCTTTGGTAATAAAACATTATATGTCAGTGTTGGAGAGGAAAAGAAACGAGAAATTGTTTTTGCTACCCTCTAATGATACCGAAGGGATAAAATTAGAAGCTTCTAGACTAACCACACTATAAATACATTTTTCCATGATTATTTTTCTTAGCTGAGGCAGCTGAGAGCTCATCAAAGGAGTCACCCACCTGGTTTAGGATTTGGAATCAAGACAGTGCAATTTATGCTGTGATATGAATCAAACTTAAGCAATGCAGCTGGCTACTCAAAGCCCTGCATTCTCACCAACGCAAGGAGGTCTTCTGAGCAAAGAGCAATGTGCTAAAAGAAAACAAAATCAAACTGAAATAAAGGAAAACCAAGGTAAACAATGATGAAGCAAAAGCAAACACATCAGAAGGAGCACATGGGCACACGGCATGTTCTCGACACTTCCTTACCATGCAAAGGAACCAAAAGGGGTATTTCGGAGGTCACATCCAAGGATAACAAAAACACAGAAAGCAAAACTAAAAAAGAGCAAATAAATTTTAAGTAACAAATATTTGTGAAGATGCAGCCAGGAAATAAATCACAAGGTATTTGATTTTGGTTGTCTTCCTCCTGGGAGAGACAACTGCTCTGTCTTTACAGGGAGGCACTTGCCCTTGACCTTCACAACAGCCCGTTAGCCAAACAGCAGCCATGATCTGCCCCTTAAGGAGGAAGAACAGAACTAGAGAAGCTCAAAGGCCTAACTTAAGGCCCGCCCTGGGGCACAGCGTGGCTGTGGTGGGTGCCCAGCTCTTCTCTCGCCAGCCCAGAGTGTCTGCGTATCTGAGACATGGTGCAGGATCAACCAGAATCTCTGGACCCTTCCCTCTTGTCATCTGGGGAGGCTCCAAAGGCATATAGCTAGGAACCAACTTCAGGTCTACACCTCAAAGACCGGAAGCAATTCATACTTACCAGGACGGTGGCTTATATGGCCACAGCCACCACCACGGGGCTCAGGGGATTTACTGCCTGCGTTCTCCACATCAAGCAGCTTCAAATATCATGAGTGTTTAAGGACAGAGAGCAACCCCGGCGGACCTGTAGAGGGTTTCCTGGAATAGCTTCGCCACCCCAAAGTGCTTCATGCCCAGGAAACATCTCTTACCACCAGGACGAGTGCTCGCCTCCCTGTGTGCAGCCGTCAGGCCGACCCCGGGAAGGCCTGCTCTCCGGCTCACACGCTTCGTTCCCCCAGGAGGAGCCAGCACCCACTGGGCTTCCTCACAGGAACTCTCTCCCACCCACCCCATTTAACTTTCCCCCAGCCAGCTGAAGGTTGAGGAATCCACCTGCACGCCTGAGCTTTTCACAGCCCCAAACCCACCCCTGAGATCTGCTCTGTGTGGCCATCTGGGAAGATGCCTGCTTGAAAACATCTCACCCACAAAGCCTGAAACGTTCCCAGCAATCAGGCCTGTGAACTAAAACACCATATGCACAGTTACAAGGCACATGTCTGCAGGAGGGCACCCCACTACCCCAGGAGCAGGCACGTCATTCTGGACTGCCTGCTTTCCCTAATACAGCAGAGGGCTCTGAGAAACGAGGTACAGGGCAGCTGCTTGAGGCAACGGCACTGGCGGGACGGGATGAGGACCCTGGGTCCCCAGGCAGAGGGAGTGTGGGCGGGTGCGTACCCCGGCCCACAGGCAAGGCCTCGGCGTTGCAGCACTGGTCCACCAGCTGATGGCAGTGCTCAGTGAGGGCCTCCAGCTGGGCCTTGTCACAGGACACCCCCAGGAATCTGGCCAGCTGCTCCACCATCGTCATCAGGTCCTGGAAGACAAGAGCAGAGAGCAGAGGAGCCCTTTACTGACCATGGCTCTGGGCTGCACACCTACAAGGTGCTTTGTATACATGTACTGCCTTACCAAGTCCCGGAGACAAGCTTGAAATTGGCCGTATCTGGAAGTAAAATCCAGGTTAGGAAATTGGCCAAGGGCACTTGGCCTGCTAATGGCAGATCCAGAATTCAAACTCAGGCCCTCAGGGGAATTTGGATGCAGAATCGAAGTCTTAGTATCACTGTGGTCATTTTAAACAGCAACAAGAAGTAAAAACTCAATTTGGAAACTGTGTCAGGAGACAAACCAGCTCATTCTCTTCTTCTCCTTCCTTCCATGCCATCAGCTGGAACCTAGGCTGGCACTTGGGAGAGCAAGGAGAGCCCTGGGTACCCCAGACAGGCCCCAGGGCCCGCCCACCCCAAACAGGAGGAGTAGACCAACTACAGTAGTGAGATTGAATTAGAAATCAAAAAACTCCCAGAAAACAAAATACCAAGCCCAGATCCTCACAGGTGAATTCTACCAAACATTTAAAGAAGAGCTGACACCTCTTCTACTTAAGCTATTCCAAAAAAACTGAAGAGTATTTGAAGAGCTTCCAAATTCATTCTTTGAGTACAGCATCACCCTGGTACCAAATGTCAAGAACACTACAAAATACAATCACAGATCAATATCCCTGATGAACATAGATGCAAAAATCCTCAACAAAATACAGCAAACCAAATAAAAAAATATATTGAAAAGATCATTCATCACAATCAAGTAGATTTATCCCAGGGATGCAAGGATGGTTCAGTATCCACAAATCAACCAATGTGATACACCACAATAACAAAAGGAAGGATGAAAACCACATGATCATCTCAACAGATGCTGAAAAAGCACTTGACCAAGGTCAACATCCATTCATGATAAAATTCTCAACAAAGCGGGTATAGAGGACACATAATAAAAGCCATATATGCCAAAACCACAGCTGACATCATCTCAGTGGTGAAAAGCTGAAAGCTCTTTCTCTAAGATCAGGAAAAAGACAATGATGCCCACTCTCACTACTCTTATTCAACATAGTCCTAGCAGTCCTAGCCACAGCAATCAGACAAGAAAAAGAAATCAAAAGCATCCAAACAGGTAAGGAAGAAGTAAAATGGTTACTATTTGCAGATGACATGATAATATACATATAGAAGACTCGAAAGCCTCCACCAAAAAAACTATCAGAGTTAATCAATAAATTCACTAAAGTCACAGGATATAAAATCCAGAAATGTTGCATTCCTATATAAAAATAATGAGCTGGCAGTAAAAGAAATTAACAATCCCATTTATAGTCTCACCAAAAAATATAGAATACTAGGAACAAACCTAACCAAGGAGGTGAAAGACCTGTACCCTGAAAACTATAAAACACTGATGAAAGAAAGTGAAAACAATACGGATAAATGGAAAGCTATTTCATGCTCATGGATAGGAAGAATATTGTTAAAATGGCTATACTGCCCAAAGCAATCTACAGATTCAATTTAATCCCGATCAAAATACCAATGGCATTTTTCAATGGGCTAGAGCAAATAATCCTAAAGTTTGTATGGAACCACAAAAGATCCTGAATAGCTAAAGCAATCTTCAGAAAGAAGAACAAAGCTGGAGGCATCACACTTCCTAATTTCAAACTGTACTACAAAAAGCTATAGTAATCAAAACAGTATGGTACTGGCGCAAGAACAGATACATGGACCAATGGAACTAGAATAGAGAGTCCATAAATGAACTCACACTTATATGGTCAATTAAAATATGATAAAAGAGGCAAGACCATACAATGGGGAAGAGACAGTCTCTTCAATAAATGGTGTTGGGAAAACTGGACAGCTATACGCAAAAGAATGAAACTGGATTATTGTTTTATACCATACACAAAAATTCAAAATGGATTAAAGACCTAAATATGAGACATGAAACCATAAAACTACTAGAAGAAAACACAGGCAATAAACTCTTGAACATCAACATCAGAACTTTTTTTCTGGGCATGTCTCCCCAGGCAGGAAAACAAAAGCAAAAATAAGTGGGACTACATCAAACTAAAAAGCTTCTGCACAGCATAGAAAACCAGCAAAATGAAAAGGCAACCCACAATATAGGAGAATACCTTTGCAAACAATGTATCTGATAAGGGGCTAATATCCCAAATGCATAAAGAACTCATATAACTCTACACCAAAAAGACAAATAATCTGATTAAAAAATGGGCAGAGGACCTGAATAAATAATTTTCTAAGTAAGACAGATAGTCAACAGACAGATGAAAAGATGCTCAATAATCATTAATGAAATGCAAATTAAAACTACAATGAGATACCACCTCACACAAGAAATAAACTGCTGGCAAGGACGTGGAGAAAAGGGAACCCTCGTACACTGCTAGCGGTGCAGCCACTATGGAAAGTAGTATGGCGGTTTCTCAATAAACAAAAAATAGCAATACCACATAACCCAGCAATCCCACTTCTGGAAATCTACTCCCACCCCCAAAAAAATCATTAATTCAAGAAGATACAGGCACCCCTATGTTTATTCCAGCACTAATTTACAGTAGCCAAGATATGGAAGCAACCCAAGGGTCCGTCCATCAATAGATAAACAGGTAAAGACATGGTACATATACACAATGGAATATTACTCAGCCATAAAAAAGAATGAAATCTTGTCATTTGGGACAACATGGATGGGCCTAAAGGTTATTACGCTAAGTGAAGTTAAGTCAGAGGAAGAGGAATAACACAGGGTTTCACTTATCTGTGGGTCTGAAAAACAAAACAAACAAAACAGAAATAGACTCATGAACACGGAGAACAGACAGCTGGTTACTGTGGGGGCAGGGGAAGAATGGGTGAAATAGGTGAAGGGGATAAAGAGGCACAAATTTCAAATTATAAAATAATTTAGTTATAGGGATGGAAGTATAGCATGGGGATATAGCTCATAATATTGTAATACTTTTGTATGGTAACTATACCTATCATGGTGAACATTTAGTAATGCATATAACTGATCAATCACCAAGTTGTTCATCTAAAACCAATATAATATTGTATATAAACTATATTTCAATGATAAATACAAATTTTTTAAAATTCCAAGCAAATCAGCATATTAAACCCTCTGACCAGTCCTGCAATAAACCTATTTAATTTCTTGATACATTTCCCAAACTATAAGAGAGAAAAGGTTCTGTGAAAGCGGGTGTAGGCATCGGTCCTCTCTGGATCCCCACAGTAATCACCAGTGGGCTCTGCGCCCTGTCCTTCGAGCTGCCTCCCCGACTAGGGGCTCCCACAGGGCAGGGGTGCAGCGCCCAGCTGCTAGTCCAGTGCGTGTGGCCTGGCCAGGGCCGGGTGGGCAGCAGATGTTAGAACATGCAAAACACCGAGAAGAGCCCCGCCCACCCGCCCTGCCACTCGGTGTATCCACTTAAAAGAAGAAACAGGGCAGGCGGGCGAGATTAAAGACACCTGGCCCTCAGGGGAGACATCACAAGAAGAGGGACACAGCTGGCCTGTCAACACAGACTGCTGGAGCAGCCAACAGAACCCAAACGGACCACACAGCAGCTCAGAGAGGAGGGCAGATGGCCAGCGAGGAAGAAGGCAGAGGGAGGGCCCATGGCTGTTGAGAAATCTCGCAGGGCTAGTGCAGGATCTGTGGCGCCTGCTCATGGGTGCGGCCCACCTGCAGTGAGGGGGTGAGAAGAAAGAACCCCCAGGCTGACCACATGAGGCGGGGGCAGCTGGAGTGCCAAGCGCTGTCAGCCCACACTGAGATGGGGACACTCTGGGCCTGTCCGCACTCCCGACAACTGATGATGTAGCCTCAGGGCTAATTTTTTAGAGTAAAATGTAAACAATGTAAATTCCTAAAAATGTGACGAGCAGTTAGTTAACCTCTTATGGATGCCAGACCATCACGGAGGCTTCTGAACAAAGAATAAACACGTGTCAAATACCAGTTAGAACCTTGCCTGTAGTAGGAATGCCATTTAGTCACTTTGGCCAGGGCAACATTCTTCCCCAGATGTCCACGCAGGTCACTCCCTCACTATGGGGTGGAAGAACACCCCCCTCCAGTGTCTGTACCCTCCTGTAGCGCACCCAATGCCTCCCAGCGCTCCCAAGGGCATAGGCGAGGCGAGGCCCCACTTTAAGCACCCCATCCTGGTCCAGCCTGCCACGGTCATTCAGCAACCATCTAATGCCCCCTTCCTTCTCCACACTCCCTGCCAGGCACTCAGAAAACCTGTCACATGAATTGATTCACTACAAAGAGCAATTTGAGAATTGCCACTCTAAGTAAGGCACACAAGCTGATGAGAAATGCAGACTCTGCCTTCGGCCCTGAGCTGGCCACCTGGGGAGAGGGTGCCAGGGGGCAGGCAGCAGGGTGAGTCTGGCTGTTGCTACACTTCTACTGTTAAGGCAGAAAAACAACGAACAGGGCTTTCTAAAGCACTGCATACCACCCAAACTGCCCTTGGGGCTGGGCTGGGGCAGGGCAGGGCCCCAGCTGTGCCAGCACTGGATCTCTGGGCACACTCAGAACTTCTGAGGCCCACCTTCCCCCCTGAAGCCTGGGTCTGGCAGAGGCCAGGCTGAGTCACACCCACGGCGACACTCCAGGGAGAGCGGGCCACAGGGAGGGCCCGGGCCCTGGACACTGCCTCCTGGGCACTCACCCGGTGCATGTCTTCATACTTGAGGAAAAGCACGTTCGAGTCCATGCGGTGCTCCCAGAACTCCTGCACATGCTCAAACCAGGAGCCGTAGCCTACTGCGGAGACAAGGGGACAGGTGAGTCACATGGTCTTGGAGGAAACGTGCACACAAGGGGTGGCCTCACTCCCTGCCTTCTGGAAGACTCCCCTCCTACTGCCCTGTGATTCGGGAGGGAAGAACAAACTCTCAGCCTGCGGGCAACACCACAGAAGAGCCCCTTCTGAAGCCCACCTTCCCTGGCTTTGTGTACAAGTCTCTCCTGCCAGCAGTCCTCAGCCCTCCCCACCCTCAGGCCACCTGGAAGACCTGACCGTGGGGACGGAGGCCCCCGCTCACCTGGGGTGTGGTCATACCTGGCACCCAGGAGTTTCTTGGTTTAACATGTGGTCACCAGGAAGAGAGCGGCCCCTGGAGGAACTGGGATGTAAGGCCAATCAGCTCTGCTAGTAGGGGTAGGACGGGGCACAGCACCTAAGGCAGATCCACGCATGGGGACCTGCCAGGCAGAACCCTGGGCAGAAGGAGGCAGTCACAGAGACCATGAGAGGCAAGGTGTCCTGTCCTGACACACGAGAGCTCGCGCCCCTTATCACAAGCCCTGTGTCACCTACTCCTGAGGCTTTGGGGTGGGGCCAGGGTCACCCGGGCAGGTGGGTGATGTACCAAGCAGTGTAGCCATGCTGCTGTGCAGTGTTCTTTATAAAACCCACTGATCCTCACCCGCCAACTCACGCCGAGATGCCCGTCACTACAAGGGGCCCTATGCGAGTCTTCCAGGGGGCTTCACACCAGAGGAAGGCTTCTGTCAAGAAACCTGGGCCCACTGGGTGACGGGAAGCGGGCCCGGCGGAGGCCAGGGGCCGGCCAGGAGCGGTGGCCACTCCACCTGTGCTCTCCCTCCCCCATGTGCCCACCCATCTCACACAAGCAGTCCTGGGATGCGACTTCATGGTCCAGGGCAGAGGGACTTCCGTCCTGGCAGGAAATCACCACAGAGACCGGCGATTAGGATATGGAGTGGCCAGAGCTGGAAGGGAGGCACGTGGGACACAGGGGCCCATCCCACACTGGGACAAGCCTTGCACGCTCACTGAGGGTGCGGCAGTCAGCAAAAGGAAACGGGGGCACCAAAGGCAGAGTGGTGCAGGGGGCTGCCTGCCCTATTCTCCCTGGTGGCGCTCACTGGCAAAGGCACCAGTGTGGGTCCTGCTTGCGCCGCTGAGCTCTGCGGAGGCCAGTGGTCCAGGGGCTGCTGCCCTGTGTCAGACAGAGCGTGCAGCCTGCGCCCCCAAGGTGCTGCAGCCTCTTACACTCAACTGTGTGAAAGCCTGGTAAGCAGGAGCCAGGTCCCCCAAAGGCCGCCAACATCAGTCTGCCATCTCGCCAGCAGGTGGCAGCATATCATCAGCCTGACTGGCAGCCTGATGAGGGCGCCTCAGGGACCTAGGGGTCACCGAGGGGTGGACATTAAGGGCCAGATCACAGCAGAAAGGCCCTCTTTAGGCCAGTGAGGCCCTGAACATATTTTATGGAATGAAGCAGGGGCTCAGGAAGGGGAAAACAAGCAGAAATGAATGGAGCAAAAAGAACATGGATGTGGCCACAGGACCTTGTTTGAGACTCAGTGCTGGAGGAAGCCTGGCCTGCTGGGCTCTGGGCTCTGGGCCCCTGACGCATCGCTGCCAGCTCCTGCATGCAGGACACATACAGCCAGGCCACCCTGCCCACTTGAGAGAGGACAGGACAGAGTCCACAGGAGGAGTGACAGCCAACCTACCGACAGGCTAATCACTGTCGGGGCCCCTAGGGGAGGACCCCAGTCTCCTGGGTCAGTGCCCACAGGTGGCGAAGAGCCCAGGTGACCCAGGCCCTGGGGCAGGGTGGGAGTCCAATGGCCATGAACATGGAGGGAAGAAAAACCCTCTGATTACAAGGGACCGTGTGAGAAAACTTGCAAAACACAATTGATGCCCACTGGGGATGACATGGAGGCTGGAAAGGAGGGCCACTGAGGGATGGGGACAGTGGTCACTGTACATAGGGACTCTCACATGGCATCAGCAATCACAGGGACAGCTCTGGCTGCACCACCGAGCCTTGGCCAGCAGGGACAGAGAGGGGTGCTGGCTTGCTGACAGGGATGGTATCCTGTTCAGAATACAGTCCTGGAAGGGAGCCCTGCTGGGCTGGCACCCGCCCCTCTGCTCCCAAGCCCCTCTGCTCCCAAGCCCCTCTGCTCCTGGGAGGCAATAGGCTCATCCAAGCAGATTATTTGGGAGAAACTGCTCACCCTGCCCTATCCCCAGTAGTGACCCTGCCCACAGAGCAAGTCGCTTCCACAAGGCTTCTGCCACCTGCCATGCAGCCCAGGCACCCTGCCCCAGAGCTCACAAGTCACACTGTCAGGGGCCCCCGACCTCACCCTCGTGAGCAGCGTTGTCTCACTGTTCCTTCTGCACCTTACTGATCAAATTCTTCAGAACCTCAGGAGAGTGGGCCTCCCTCAAAAGCCTGTGGCGCACAGACCACGACACAGAATAGTGAGACTGTGGGGGGGGAGCTGAGTACATGTGTCTAGAGGCTCTGCTGGGACCACAGCAAGTTTGTGTGGCCTTGAACTTCGGTGCTGGGAAGTGCTGGGACCTTCAACGTTGAGAGGCCTGTTTGGGATAACTTCTAACCACTCTGGCCTGAGCAGGAGGCTCCAAGTCCTACAGCGTGGCAGTCTGAGCGTGGTGGACACCTGCTGCTCATGGGACGCTGTCCTGGGGCAGGTAGCTGCCTCTCTGTAGAGGAAGGAGCGTATGCTGGGACTTGAGGACATGATTCTAGAAAGCACATGAGTGGTTCGCTCCAAAAGCAGGAATGAGGGGCCTGGGCCAGATGGTAAGCAGGCTGAGGGGCGAGGAGGCTGGGCCACAGGACTTGTAGCACCCTCCGGGGGCCTCAGAGCAGGGATGGGCCTGGCCTCCTCCCCCACCCTCCCTCCTCTGGGGGGCCACCTCTCCTGGGTACCTCGTCCCCAGGCACAGCTGAAGCCCATCTGATACTATGGCAGGAGCACGGGTCCAGGCCTGTGGGACCCGGGGACCCCATGTGCTTCAGCCCACTGATTAGGGTCTGGCCTCCGAGTAGGCTTGGAAGCAGCCCCAATCGCTGCCCTGAGTTCCATTTAAACTGGAGCACTGGATTCCTGGATTCCCATCCTACACCTCATCTCCTCAGCCTCACTGCAGGGCCTCTGATGGGGTTGGACAAGGGCACAACAAGGATGAATGTTACTTGAGTCGGGAACTAAAACATGAAATATGTTTTCAAACTTGGGTATGGAACAGTCTTGATGCAAATTTGATTAAAGTGCAGATAGGACCCATTTCAAAACCAGTGCCAACCTACCTAAACTGCCCACCTGTGTCCTGGAAGGGTGCCCAGAGAAGCCCTAGTTGACAGTGGGAGAGCCACCCGGGCAGGGAACACAGCACCGTGGCGAGGAGCTGCTGACATGTGCCAAGTCAGCCCCACGCACATGTGGCTGGCCCTCCCCCACAGGGAGGGGAGACACAGAAGCCCCCTGGTGGCATGGCCCCAGCTCCCTCTCCTGCCCCAGGACAGCTTCCTGCACAGAGCCCTGCCTCTGCCCCACCCCAAATGTGCCCCACCCTGTCACATGGCCTGGGGCTGCGAGGCACCCCTCCTTGGTCCTAGAGTCCAGCTGACTGCGCATGCGGCTCTCCCATGAAGCCACAACCCCGACTCTGGCCTTAGTCCCCAACAGCAGAGATGTCCAGGCCCCCATTTTTACTGTTCGTAATCTAGGCAGGGAGAGGGGTGTTTTTAGTTGAGGAACTTCTCAGAGCCCCAGTGACCCGGCGAGAGAGAGAAAGGCTTCTGAGTTGGCCACCTGCTCTGCCAGGCACTAGCTATGACCTTGGGCAAGTCTCCTTTCGCCCCTCAGCCCCAGCTTCCTGCCTGTAAGCAGGGAGGCAGCCTGACCCGTACAGCTGTCGTAAGAACCGGGACAGCGTGGGATAACACGGGCTGGTGCTCAGCGAACAGTCAGTCGTCACTGCTGGGACACCCGCACAAACTCAAACACTCACACTTGTCGTTCATAAAGCGCCGACAGAATTCCTGGAAAGTGCCCCGGTAGCTCATGGTCCTCAGCGAGCGGTGGAACTGGTAATAAGACACCACCAGGTCCTTGGGGTTCCGGGCCATGTATATGACCTACAGCGGGAGGGACGGCGTTAGTCTGCTCTAGCCCACGCAGGTCACTGCAGGCAGGTCCGACTGACCTACCACCCAGCCTCCTGTACCCTATAAACTGTCACCCTGCTTCCAAGTCAGCCCCACGCGCATGTGCACCACGGCCAAGCACTTCTATTATCCCAGCAGGATGCATACTTGTCCAGACAACAGCTTCCGGGAGCACAGCTCCTTGGGCATCTTACTACTCTCTGTCCACTACCACTACCTTACAATCAGCGGAAGACAGAAAAATTACAGTCCTGACACTGGTGATGAGAATGACAGGCCTCATAACCCTAGTGTGGTGGAGAAAGCGAGAAAAATTAGAGGCTGGGAAAGCAGCTGTGAGTCCTTGGCCTTGGACGGGCCGTGGCTCGGCTTAGGCTGGTCAAGTCCAAGCCCAACAGCAAGGAAAACCCCCAGTTAGAAATGTGGATACAACACTAGCAATACAGGATTGAAGATGGCCTCTAATGAGGGTCTGACACACCTCTGTTCCCTGGGAAGCTACTGCTGAGACGGCAGCCCGCTGTTCAGATGGGCTCTGTTTGTTAGGAACTCAGCCAAGGATGGGGAGGAGGCGTTACCTTGGAATCGCCATTGTGGAGGTCAGAGGGCAGGAAGCGGTAGGGGAGGTGACTCTTGATGAGGCGGGGAGACGTCAGCTCCTGCAGCAAGGTCAGAGGGAGAGGCGATCAGAGGACACAGCTGCTCCTGTCCGTGCATGGAGCCAGGTCGGGGTTCTCGGGCAGTCAGGGCCAGCCCTCCAGCTGACAGCCCCTCTCCTGAGATCCCACCACACTCCAGGCTGGACCCTGGCGGCAGACACGAGCAAGGCGCCAGCCCTGTCCAGGGGCACCAGTCCCGGGGAAGTCTAACTCTCCCAGCCAGGGGGGGCTGCTCAGAGGACGGGCTGGGCTTTCAAGGGCAGCGGAGGAAGGAGGGGGCACGAGGTGCAGAGGGGCAAATGCCGGAAGGTCATCTCGGCACGCAGGCCTTCCCTCTCTCCTGGAGCGTACCAGGCCCTCCGGCCAGGGTCTGTGCTCCCATGCCTCTGCCCCGGCCCTCACTCCGCCATCCCTACCATCCTGCCCTGTCCTCTGGCTCATGCGGTGCTGGTCACCGTTCAGCCTGTGACTTCCTGTTCTCCTCCCCGTGGGTCTCACTGGAGTGGACGTCTGTGACGGCCGAGAAGGTGCTTTCAGCTTTGCTCTGGTCTGCCACAGGGCCGGAGTGGTGTCCAGCATGCGGAGGGCACCAGTGCAGCCCCACTGGAGGGCTCAGTGGACAGGCTGTATGGGTGCTAGTGGGAGGGCTGCAAGCAGGGAATGGGAAGACCCTGGACTTTGCTTTGAGGGCAGGGACGGGCTGGGGCACCTCAGAGCTGCACTCATCTAGCAGAGGGAACCGGCAGCCCACCCAGGGAATGAGGCCAGAGCTGAGGTCGGGGGGTGGGGGGGCAGGGGGGAAATCGGACACATCTGAGGAGCTGAGGAGTGGAACGGACAGGACTCAGTAACATGCATTTCATTCCTTATACCAATCATCTGATGTACTAGCACCCTCCCAGTCACTCAACAGATGGGCTGAGTCACAGATGGGGGAGAGGCCCGCCACCCCCACCAGTCCCCCCATCCCCCCACTCCCTGGCATCTGCCTCCTTCCTATCTCGATGTCACCCAGGTCACCACCAATCCGATTCCAGGTCACTGTCATGGGCTCGGGACCATCAGTGTCTCTCCTGGCCATCTGTGGGTACCAGAAGCTCTCTGCTCTCCTTCCACCCATGGGCCCCCCCATGCTCCTCATGAGCAACTGTCACTCAGGATACAACCAAAGAAACGTCCCAAAGGGATCACAGGGTCTGCGTGGCTGGCACCTGCCCACAGAGTACCTTGATGATGTCCAGGCCGGGCTGCGGGTATTCCAAGACGGGAAGCTGCTCATCGATGTTCATCAAGCCGATCTCATCAGGGTCGGCTCCCTGGCTCACCAAGTAGACCACCTCCTGCAGCAAGCTCGTGCCTGGAGGGAGAGAATCCCCAGGGAGGGCCCTCAGAGGAAGCCCCAGGGCCAGCCCCACTCTCAGATCAGCACCTGCTGCCCAAGAACAAGGGCGGAAGGACCACAGGTGGGTCCCAGGAGCACCCCGTAGCCAGTGGGAAAACAATGGCCTGAATCCCAGCCCTCTGGGGTGACTGGGAAAGCGGGCCTTTCCAAGCTAAAAGGGAGCAGATGTTCCCCAAGACTGTCACCTGCCACTCCAGGGCCCCAAGGACTGTAATAAATTGATGAGTCCCAGTCTGAGGCATGAGTCAGGAGCGCCTTGCCAGCCAGTGGGTGATTTACAGCGGTAACTATCTCCCCTGTATCTACACAGGCAGGCCCTGCAATCTGAGAAATCTACTTCTGGGTTTATACCGAGAGAAAACAACTGCAAACAACTGTTTGTCTACCGACAACCCTGGCAGTGTTCTTCAGAATAGCCAATCCTTGGAAATAACACAAAAGTCTGTCAACAGTGGAATGAGCAAATAAACTCTGCTACTCAGACACCTCAGACCGGACAGTGTTAGCTACCACTGCACGCAGCACAGGCGAATCCACAGACATGATGCTGAACACATAGGCCAGCCACCAAAGGCCACCTACTGTCTGATTTCACACGTTTCCAATCATACTAGGTTGAAGAATGGGCAAAAGGAAGCTACGATGACAGGTGAGAACCATGGCGCTTGGGGGGAGGTAGGTGCTGACTCATAAAAGATACAAAGAGGGTCTTTATTCTTTACCTTCGTCTAGTGGTATCCCAGGTATGCACGTGACTTGTGGTTCAAGCAAAGGAAACCACCCCTCTGCCCAGCGTAGCCCGCTTCCCTGGGAGAGGCAGAAGGGCCAGCGACGGCACACCCCAGAGCCCTGTGGGCAGGACCCCCAGCCAGGAGGGAATCAGAAGGGGCTCCCCACGCTTCTCCTGGCCCCTGTGTGCACGGCTATGAGCTCCATGTCCCCGGGAGCTGTCCCCAGCCCTCACGGCTTCTGGCTTCTCAGAAGAAACAGACACGGCCGGCCAGTTGCTCCCCAACACGCTCCGGCCCCTTCACTCGGGGAGCATTGCTCTCTGTTGCTGGCCCCTCACTTCCCCGCCCTGGAAATGCTGGCTGCCCCCAAGTGTGGCTCACGCAGACCCACCCCAAGGCCCACACCATGCTTACCCAACACACAGCCCTCTGCTGGGAGCGCCCCCCACCAGAACCAGGCCGTCTCCCCACACCCACCCTGCCCCGCCTGTGCCAGCTATTCCTCACACCTCAGCAAAACCCTGCCCCCCCGGCTGGCACCATGAGAGGCCCCACAGCTCTCTGCTTCTGCCCAGCTCACCCCGCCTTTGGACTTCCTTTCAACAAAGCAGCCAGAATGCGGGATACTGTGGGCATCACATCGCTTCCCTGCCCAGTGAAGAGCCCCCAAAGGCCTTGCTTGTATCTCCTCAAAGATGAAGCAGGCCTCCCCACGCCTGCAGGCCTGTGGGCAGTGCTCTGTGCCCCCCACTTGGTGCCTCTCTGACCACCTTCCTCGCTGTCTGGCCTCCTTTGCATTGGCTGCCCTGCCTAGAGCCTCTCCTCCCCACCTTGGGCCCTTTAGGCAGGAGGGTCCCCGACAGCCACATGCCTAACACTCCCACCCTCAACCCTTCACCCTGCCACTGGGCCAACAGTCTGGGAACAGCCTGCACATTCCCTCCCAGGCTCCCACTCCTCCCACCACGTGACGTGGACTGTTTTGTCCGGTTCTCCCCTGTGCCAGGAGAGCCAGCACACAGATATGCTCCCTTCATATTTCTGAATGGACAAACCAACCTTGGGTGCTGAAATCAGAAGGGGATACATTGATCAAGGAAGACTTCCTGGAGGAGGCAGCTTTGGAGCACAGGCACTGGAAGAAGTAGTGTGGTGGCTCTTCAGTCAGGAAGAACTTCTCCGTCCATTAACCACAGGACCTCCCCCTGAGAGGTGGGGACTGTCACCCCCATTCAGAGATGAGGCTCCTGAGGCCAAGCCATGCCCCAGGTCACACAGCCAGTGTGTGACTCCCACCTACTCCTCCCGGGAGGTCCATGCACCCACCACCGCATGGGGGTGGGGAGCGTGAGGGAGTCCATGCCTTAGAAACGTGGGCAGAGTTCCCCAAATGGGCCACTCCCAGGACATCTTCAGCACCTACGCTAGGTGCGACTCTGCCCTGTGGCCCCCACAGGCAATGACCTGGACAGGCGTTCTCTGCACGTAACTCCATCCCACATCAGTATGGACGGGTCACTTCCTCAAGCCCCGTCCTGGCCTCCGTTAGATAACCATGCCGGGAGACCAGCAGCCCAGCCTCATTAGACCCAAAAGGAAACGCCCTACCTGCCAGGCCCACCAGCCTGTCCCCAACGGCCCTCTCTCCAGCCCCTGCAAGTCCACTTCCTAGTTGAGCAACCCTTGGCCTGACCTCCAGCTCTGAGCATGGCCCACAGGAAGGCACATTGTGCCTGCCCAGCACAGTGACAACACTGACCCTTCACTCCTGGGTTCAGATGCTCTTCTAAGCACCTCAACTAAAGACCAAACACAGGTCTGACCTCCACACCCCTGCAAGGTTCTGCACGGGTCTCTGCCAGGTGCCAGCTACTGCCAGTCCTTTCCCAGACCCCCACTACAATCCCACCCCCGGGCAGTGCCCCCTGAAGCCACCCACCCCTGCTGTGCTCTGGCATCTGGGGGCAGCCCTGCTCCCCCAAGTCTTCTCCCTCGAGCCCTCTAGCACTCTGTGCTCAGTCTTCTGTCTCCTGAGCTCAGCACCCCCAGGGCCCAAACCAACAGGCTGCACTTCAGCCTGGCCAACTTGGAGTTGACCTTTGGGCCACTGTCCCCATAAACATTCCCCATGCGTGGTCTCATCCGGTGCCCGCCCCATGGAAATGCTGGCTGCCCCCAAGAGTGGCTCACGGAGACCCACCCCAGGGCCCTGTGCTCTCCTTGTCCTGCTCTTAGTGCCCTGTGGACACTGGGGGGCAGCTCATGAGCACAGGGAACGTGTCTTAGCTATAGATTCATGCTTTCAGCTGCTATAACCAATCACCACAAATTCAGGGGCTTAATCCAGCGCAGTTATTACCCTACAGCCGGAAGGTCAGAAGGGCAACACAGGCCTTGCTGGGCCCAATCAAGGCCTCGGCCACTGCGCTCCCTCTCGAGGCTCCAGGGAGAACGGGCTTCTCCCCGACCCAGCTGTAGTCCCGCTGCCTCCCTCCTCCGTCAGGAGCCCTGTGGCCCCTGAGCCCACCCAGATAGCCCACCTGACTCTCCCACCCAGCAGGCAGCTGGGGGACACCCCTCACTGTCACGGGAAGCACTCACACGCTCCGGGGACCAGGAGGGGACTTTGTGGGGCTGTTATTCTGCCGACCACTCACTCACACTGCCGTCTCAGTCCCTGACACAGAGTAGGTGCTACACAAACACACGGGCCTGGAGGGCTGAAGGAAGCAGCTCTGAGGAGCCCCCGCCCGCACAGGAGGCCGGACTGGTGTCACGTGCCGCGTCTATGCCCACCTGCCGCCCTTCACACTCCTGGCCCCAGCCAGCACCCCGGCACCCAAGCCATTCCCGCCCCAGGCACCCTGCCCAGAGCTCCCTCCCCTCCGCCAGGACATCACCCACCCCTCCCTCCCTGCGCCCTCAGAAGCTGGGGTGGGGTGAAACGGCCTGTCTCCTGCAGGATTAGGTCACAGTGCTCCCTAGGATGCGGTGGTCTCGCCCCCTGGAGGGGCCTCCGCCCACCACCCCTTTACCCATTCAGCAAGCCTGCACCAAGGGTTCCTGGGAGTCCGGGCCTCCCCTTCCAGAAAATGTAGGCAACACCCCTCCCTTCCTATGGGGCCATTGGGGTCAGGCCACGAAGTGACAGGCTCAGGGCAGAGAAGTGCCACACAGGTAGGCACTGCTCTGAGCTCCTAAGACCACGACGGTCCCACTGACCGGGACGGCTCACAAAGGAGGACACGCCACAGCCCCCTCTGCCAAACCGGCAGCCCCCGTCCAGTCCCCTGGAAGCCATGCCCAGGTGAGAGGCGACAGCCAGGGCCGCTCCCGCCCCAGGCCAGGGGTTGTTTGTAAGGACGCAGAAGCGGAGTTTCGGTTACTAGTCTGAGTCCACAAAGCCAGGACGGGGGGCGGGGGCTACCTCGGGAACAGGAGCCCCAGCCCATGAGTCCCCAGCGAGCTGGGCAGTGAGGGGGCAGGTAAGGCAGAGAAGCCCTGCATGAGGCCCGCCATGCAGCCTGAGGGTCAAGTGGGGCTGGGAGCGCCTGCACTCCTGTGGCCAGCGGGCCTGACGTCCTGAAGCGGGCAGAGAGAGGCCAGCTGTCCACTGCAGCCTGAGCCTGCGGCCAGCACGCGGCAGCACGCCAGCCTCCTTCCCAGCAAACCCGAGGGCAGTCGGAGGACAGCCCGGCTGCCAGACCAGAACCCTGGGAGGCTGGCAGGGCCGCAACCCCCTGCTGGGCAGTGACACAGGCCCCGAGCTTTGCAGAGTCGGTCGGGGCCCATGCCCGAAACCACCAGCGCCCTGGGGAGACTCCCCAGGGACCCAGGGCCTAGCCTGTCACACGCAAGGCGGGAGTCCAACAAAATCCCCAACCAACGCTCTGCAGTCAGAACCTACTGAAACTGGGCCCCAAGCTACCAGAATCCTGGGACTGGAACCTTCCATTTTCCAGAATTGGAATTCTTCCATTTTCGTTTTTATCATTTACCAAAGTCACACTTGAATCTATTCTAAAAAACTCAAAGCACCGTAAGACACCCACCAGAAGTTCCAGTTCTCCTCCCACCCCCACCCTCCCAGAGCAAACCCTCGGGGACTCTCCCTTACCCTCACTTTTCTAATGGTTGATCAGTTATTTCATGACCCATGTTTTCGATGGCCTGCTGGGTTTCAGCCAGCCCAGCGGCCTCACGCAAGCTTCTCCTCTCAGGTGG